TAATTGAATTTTGACATATTTTATATTCGATTTATTAAACGCTATTAGCTCATCTGGCCCTGTGAGTTTGCAAAAGACATGCGCATGTAGAGTAAACAAGCAGACTAACGAGTGTGTTGTCTGAGAACATCTCAACGTTTCCACCCTGTTTGGACTTTTGTTTAGTTTGTAACCGAAATGCAACATACGGTGTGACGTGGTCATTTCATTTGTAGACTAACAGCACAAAGAAAGAGTTCACTGTTGGGAAAATTTAACACATTTAAGAGTCAAGCGTCCTCTTCTTGTCCAAAAGGCAAATTTGATATGAGTCTATGTCAACAGTTGGTGATATTTACACCGGCAGTTACTCATGATTTGTTCTGGGTGTTTCAGTACAAGTGGTGCTTAATATTGCAAAGACACTCCACAGACTTGTTTTTTTAACTGAATGAGAACAACAAAAAAGATCCTTAAAGGTTAAAGGCTGTGGTTTAGATTTTTTTTGTTATCTCTTTCCATCCAGAGTCGCTCCCGTTCATTGGCATCTTGTTATGACTGCACGGTCGTAGTCGCATCATTTTTACATATCATGACCCGACCGTGCCGTTGAGCGTGCTTGTGTTTGCTTGCTCTGTGACATACAATCCCATTGTTCATCAATAGCTGTCTGAGGCGAGACCTCCATTACTGGTTTTGTGTTGCACGGATCCGAGGCCCGTTGCTCGGAAATGTCGGTTCCGTCTCCACACATATATGCCGCTGTGGCACTATCGGACAGCTCCTGCGTCTAATGGCGTTGACGCTCAGCAGCTGAAAACCAATCCATCACACGGGGGAAAAAAAAAAAGCGAGGGAGGGAAAAGAGGGAGGGGAAAGGGGGGAAGTCAGGAGGTGGCGAAGAAAACAATGGCGGAGCTGTACTTCATGGTTTTAAAAGGCTATTTATCACAATGGTCCCACTGTCAGGCTTCCTGCCTGTATATCCGTGGAGGGAATCAAACCCATGCCAAACTCATTTATGGGTGTGGATGTGGAGAAATGGACCATCATGAAGTCACACAGGCAGACTCCAGGCCACCACAGACACTTGTGCTGCATCCAGTGCTGATAAAAAAAAAACCTATTAGTGATACTGTATATTCTCAGGGTCAGTTCAGCCAAGAGCTGGAAGTTGATCCGTGTGCATGAGAGAAATATTTCCACACATAGGTGAAAGGAGCTGAATGCTTCCCTAAGATCTCTAATAAAAACAACAACAACATGAAAACATGTAAAATATACAAGACAAATGAGTTCAATATCATTCAAGTGATTCAACACTGCCTGACCTTACAGCGGTTGCATTACTTTAGTTGGACAGTAGGGCATTCGCTCTTATGTAAACTCAAATACTAACAGTTCAGATTCACCACATTAGCATGCAGTGCAACAAAGGTCAGCGCATTATTACTGAGATTCAAATCTGTTAACTATCTCCTCACTGTACAGGGCTAGAGAGATGTTCCAGAGAAATGTTGTGCCATTCTTCAGAGACGATATTTTCCAGCTGTTCTTTCCTGGATGGGTTGTGCTGTTCTACCTTTCTAATGAAAAAGCCCCAAAGGTGTTCTGTTGGAGTCAAGTTAAGGCCACGCGCTTGGCCCGGTCATAGCTTTCATGATGTGATTTGGACGCTTTTAATCCTAGAAAACTATTATTAATATTATGTGCCAAGCTTCTGGACACTCTGAGTCATCTGGTCTGTGAGTATTCTGGTATATCCACAGGCAGTCATGGCACCATGTATAAATGTCATCTCTCTAACACCTCTTGGACTCATACAGCCCCACGTCATCACATCCCTACCTCTGTGCTTTACTGTCAGGACTATGTATTCACTGTGATCGTCCTGGATAGGTTCATGCCAAGCACATCAGAACCACCATAACTAAACATTAGTTATGGGACGTCTTGAGGTGTAATCTGGAAATTGATTATTAATATTTCAGATTGAACTATAATAAACTATCAAATCTACTTATACTATGTAGTTTTATAGTCAGAAGTCATGTATTTTGATTTCATTGACCCCAGACAAAATAAAAACATGGCAGCACCAACGGCAGTAACACACAAACATTTATTAAGTACTGCTGCAAAGAAGCAAAAGTCAACAACGGCACAGTGAACGACAGGCAGTGAATGAATGCTTACAGTGAAGTAAAATCAAATCTAATCAGGTTTATTGTCATGTTGCTGTACATGCACAGGAGTACAGGCAAGATGAGAGCGTTTCTTCAGGATCATTTAAGTTTTGCGGAATGAACATGAACATCTGGGAAAAGACACTAAATGTTCGCTGCCTCCTGAAGGGGGCGCTGTGTCCATGCACGCCGGCATCCGTTGAACATGGTGAACCTCTTCAGGTCCTGGTAGGTCTTCAGGGTCTGCATCCCCTCCAGCTGTATGTCCGTCTGGGATGTTGTCATGGAGCCATGTTTCTGTTAAAGCAGACACACAGCAGTCTCTCCACTCTCTGAGGGTTTCTCTCAGCAAACGTCCAGCTTGTTGTCGAGGTAGTGGACATTGGAGAGCAGGAGGACGGTCCTGCCGGTCTGGAGGGGCTAGCCTTTAGCCTAGCATGGATCCCGGCTCTCTTCCTCCTCCTTTATTTATGTTCACACCGTTTCCTTCTCTCTCGGGTAACTGTCGGCGTCGTCTCCAATCGGACTCCATGTTGGTGTAGTTTGTCCACATCACAACCGAGCGCCACAATTCCAGCACCGTTCACTGTTCTGACACCCAGCAAAGTCTCCCGGCCGCAAGTTTTGCAGAATGAACGTCTGGGATGGACGAGACACTCAAAACGTTCACTTTCGTTGTCTCCTGAAGGGGGCGCTGCGTCTATGTGCCATCACCATGGCAACGATATAAAAATGAGTAAATAACTGTGATTGACGCTGCAAGCAGTCGGCCGAGCAGTGATACATTTGGACTCACTTTAGATTTGAGAGACAAATTTTAATTTCAGGAGTTTTCTGTCATCTTAAATGGAGCCCTATTTTATTTACAGCTGTGAGGAGGTGTCACAATGAGATTTGAATCAGACATGCTGACAGACACGGGTCAGACATCCAAGACTGAGAAAGTCCTGCTGTTCAAAGGCTTTTTTTAAATTAGTTTTAAAATTTTATTGTAGACTTTTAGAATTTTAGAACCATGTTCATACAAAAACGCAGTTTTTGGCAGGTACTACAAATCTGAATCACCTGATATTATTTATTTTTATTTATTTATTTGCTCCTTTCATAAAGGTAGACAACATAATTTGTACATAAATGCACTCAAATCAACACCTCCATGATTGGAAAGGAGCAGCAAGAAGAAAAAAAAAAATCTAGTATTTGCCTGCCCCCTGTTTAAACAAATAAAATGAGAAAATAAAAACAGAAAGAAAAGATCACCTGATATTTAACCGATATTACACAGGGGGTGCTGTGTGGTGTGTCTTGAAAGAGTCACATGGATTTGTGCATTGTTGCAATGTTGGAATCAGTTTACTGTCTGATGGCTCAAGTAATAACATGAAGCATGCAGTCAACATACCTTATTTGCTGTTTATACACTTGATTTTAAAGATGACTATTGTACATGTAAGCAGCCTCAGTCTTAGATCTTCTCATGTGACCCAGACCTGAATGGCCCATCTGCACGAACCCACAAATGATTCAGGCTTTAGAGATTTTTTGTTTAATCTTTGCCTGTTGTCTGCTGCAAAAAACCTTAGAATTTAAAATGTGGTCTTTAAATGTGTAGATCGCTAAATTTAAAAAAAAATTAAAAATCAAAGAAAAAAAAAAGTGTAAATGACAAAAGAAACAAAAGCAGATGCTACATCACACATGCAATAGTGGGTTAGTGATCGAGGTAAAACACATCATATGCTGTCACTGCTACAGCTCCTACATCTCAACTCAAACTTAAAACCTCTCGGATCAAAAAAAAAAACACACACACACAGAAGTTCTGGAGGCTCTCGGTGGCCCACCTGACAATTTTATGTTGATTTTTTTACTTTGATTTGCCTCCAGTCTCTTTGTATCGTGTGTAAGTTTTGAAGTTTTACCATCATTCTCTTTGCTAAACTCCAGCACAACTGCTTGTTTGATAACCAGCTCATTGCATTTCAGGCTCTGCTGGAAACACATACAGACTTTACGCTATGTCTGCATATCCCGATGCAGCATTTTTTAAAATACCCAAATGTTTGTGGTCTGTGAAATGCTTGCAAAGCCGGTTGAGGAGGCTTTCAATTATTCAGCTGTGCGGCTCCTTGCACCTTGTCTTAAAAAAATCCTCCCTCACTCCCCTACAGTGTCTCTTGTGTCTATTATAAATGATTTTTTTTTTTCTTCTAACTTTTCTTTGGCCTTGTGGAGATCTTCTCTTCTTAACAGTCAGAATTTGCTTATTTTTTTTCATTTGCATTCTGCTGCCTGAATGCGTACAAGCACAATGACTTAATAAATCTGGTTCCGACATTATTATTAGAGAGCAGCGTATTCTAAAAATGACAGCTTCATTTACGCTTTGAAAGAAAGTTTTTACAAAGAAAGATTTTTTTCCCCCAAAAGGTAAGACTCTATCTAGTAGAGAAGACTTTCGGTTTGAAGGAGCAACAAAGTCCAAGTCAGGAGGATGGCAGCATGAGTCAGCAAGACAACTTTCATCTAGAACATTTCCATCTGGGACCATTGTCCTTAGGCTCAAGTTTCACTTTCACTCACTGTTTGCTTTTGGTTTTCACCTGCTGTTTAGGCACAAAACTACTTGGTTCAACTATGTTTCGTAATGCACCCTTCCACAGTCACCACTAAATTGGTGAGGTGGCCCCTCCTTCATACTCGAATACTCAAATCAGTTCTGGCCAAGACACCTCCCTCCCTGTTCTTTATGTCGCCCATAATTCTTATCATACTAAGTCTAGTGAATCCATCAGGCTCATCATCCCCAACACCTCCACTATTTTTGGCTCCTTTCACTTTGGAGCAGCTAACAACAGGAACACCTCACAAAACACTCTCAAACTCTGACTCCGCTCACCACCTTCAAGCTTATAATCCAACAGATTGTAGTCGACTGTTGCTCCTGCTGATCACGCCAGACTTTACTTACATACTTTTTCACTCACATGCATATGCTCCCATGATTCTTACTTGTTTACTTTTGTTCTGTTATGTTCATGTGCCTATAATTTACATGTGTGTTTGTTCCTGCTGGCTCCTCTTGGCCAGGTCGTGTTTGCAAATGAGAACTGGTTCTCAAACATTTCTACCTGGTAAAATAAAGGTCAAACAAATAAATAAAAAAACAAACTTCCTCCACAACTAAACCACATGTTTGTTTGGAGCACATCAAAAACACAAATCAAAACATCAGTGCGCATCATTTTTTTGCTTTCCTGTGGCTCCTTTTCACCCAGTCGATCATACGTATGAGGTGTGTCAGAAAGCTTTCAGGACAGGTGTCACAAAAGATCTATTTCAAATCCAAACTACAAGTTTTCCCTCCTGGAGTCTAACACACTTTCCCAGCCTTCTCTGCCTTCACGCCGCCATGCACTCCTGGAAGGATTCCTCCTCAGCTCCGTCGTCACAACCATCTTGATGTCGTCCACGTCTTCAAAACGGGTCCCCTTGATGACCCCCTTGAGCTTGGGGAAGAGGAAACAATCCCACGGAGCCAGGTGGGGTGAGTAGGGAGGTTGCTTCAGCACGGTGATGTTCTTCTCAGCCAGTAACTGTCGGATGCTCAGGGCATTGTGAGCAGGCATGTTGTCATGGTGAAGCAGCCACGACTTGTCCTGCCACAACTCTGGCCTCTTCTGATTGAAGCAAACGCCGCAGGATCTTTTTGTGCTGATTGATCATCTGAAGGGGAAAACTGGTAGTTTGTAGTTTGGGTATGAAATATATCTTTTGTGACACCAGTCCTGGATCTTCTCTGACACACCTTGTAGACGAGGTAACCCAGAAAATAGTGGAGAAACTTCAAACATGTAGAGAGAGGGTCGTATTTTAACCCAAACTATGATATTTTCCTCAACCTAACCAGTGTTGTTGTTAAAGTTAGCAGTAGTAGCCCCACACAGCTCACAAACCCTGGTAGAGGTTTGGTCACTGACCTACGCCTCCAGGATTCAAGACTCTTTCAAAGTGGAAGTCGTTGCTACTACCTCACAGGTGCTTTAGTTTTAAGGCGAAATTTTGTTTTATTTCAACGTACATAAGAATGAGCTGTATAGGACTTTAACCTTATGGAGACTTGGGTTTAGGAAAATATGCTTCAGTCAACACTTTCACAACAACAACAACAACTACTCGTAAGAAGCTTGGGCATCAAAATGACTCAAGAAAACTATAGTTTGGGTGTAAATAAGACCCTTTCCCAACATGTCTGAACCTTTTCTCCCATTTTCTGGAGTGCTTGTGGGACAACTTCCACTCTACCTTCTTCACGGTTGGTTGGTTGATAAAGGAGCAATAAAATAAAGCAATGCAATCCAGCAGAAAAAGAAACTTCTCTCAAAACCTAATGCAGACAAAGTACAGTAAATTCCACACATATACACATGAGGGACACGTGGTGTTTCAGGCTCTCCATCAATCAATGCCGAGGTATGTTAAAGGCACTCTGGAGGCGGACAGTGAGTTTAATATGTTGCGGTGTTTTCTCTCTTCATTCGCTCCCCCATCTTTGTGTACTATAGAGAAGTCTAAATGAAGGTCATCTTGTGTGGAAGTAGCAAAACCTCCAACTCGTGTTAGTGCACTGAAGGTGCCTGAGATGTATCGGGAGCTGTTAGCTGTGTTTCTTTGTTAAAGGACGCAGTAGAAAACTCGGTAGGCACGTAGGTAACTAAAGCTCCGTTTAGAGCGGAGTTATTTCTCTCAGGGAGGTCTGGTGATTGTACCCTGATCTGTGCCGTTTGCTTTTAATCCCATCTGGTGTGCAAATAAGTATAATTTTTCACCCCCACTCTGTAATAATTACAGCTGCAATTACGCACTGTTTACTTACTTGTATTTTAAAGTAGATCCCTGAGTTTTAGTCTCTGTGAAGGGCTGCTTGTTGGACTTCTTTTTCTTTTTCTTTTTCTGCGTGCGGTTTGAATCTGTGGAAAATTAAAGTTGGTTGAAACATTTGTCAGTCTGAAAGATGAAAGCATGTTAACACCAACATACATTAGACGACAATAAAGAGCAAGACTTTATAAGTACACTGTCTTTCTATAGACTTGTTGTTAAACTAAGTGCACTAAAAGTTCACTGAATTAGCCAATAGCAGTTCTGGTTTGCAACATGCCTGGATTTAACTCTAAAAGTTA